AGTCAATCAGAGGATGCCAGAAGAAGGTCATACACTAAGCATGACTTTTAACCCAGCTTCCCTCCCCAGTGAATGTGCCACCCCAGGTTGAAAGAGACATTGTCTCACTGCAGGATCTTTCCCAAATGCACCCCCAGAACACGATGGAGGCAGTACTCAGCTCGACTTACCATGTTCCAACTGCCTCCTACCTACCAGGCTGCCATATGTTCAGGATCATTCTATTGCCAGATGTATGTCAAAGTTTTCTTTTTTAAAATGCAATTTTCCCCAGAATTTATTGGCATCCTACAATGCTGCTTCTTGGCTGCAAAACGGCTTTTCTGCCATTTGAGCCTAAAATAGAAACCACACGCAACCTTGACAGTAATCATGACCAAGGAGAGAGCACGTACATCTATTTATAAGGCACCTGAAGGTGAGATCTTTGGTGCTACTGCTTGGGAGGATCAGCTTAACAGAGTTGAAAATATTATCCTCGTTAACTATGTAGCCTTATTACAAACTGATAAAATCATACATATATAATAAAAACCTAAATACTGAATTTTATAATTAAAGTTTATAACACCAAATTTTCAAAGACTTTGAGATACTCATAAATTATGGTTTTCTTTGGAAGTCACATACTTTGCTCATTTTTTTTATTCTTTGTTGTTGTCAAATACAGAGTAATATCTCAGCACCTCGTGACTTGATATATGCAACAGTATGCAGGCATGTGTTCATATGGATGAATATGCTGCGTAGATGGTAAAAGAACTCTCCAGAATTTTATTCAACAAGACTATGTTTGTCCAAAAACATGTTTTTTTGGCATCCAGAAAGCAGTTCTTGGAATGAAAATCACATTCATGTTTAAAAATTTTACAAAAATTTGAAGAGTTTGAGCAAATAATGAACATTTTTGTTTTCTTTTTCAAATCCCAGAAGGTAAGCTAGACTTAACAAGTAATAGTCAACACAGCTATGAGAACACAAGTGTCACATGCTCAGAATATTCATGTCCATCTTCACCTCCCTGCTTGTCAAAGTTGGTCCCGTCTATCATTCCT